CAATGTGATGATGTGGCAGTTTATTTGAATACATACAATGTGATGATGTGGCAGTTTATTTGAATACATACAATGTGATGATGTGGCAGTTTATTTGAATACATACAATGTGTCGATGTGCATAGTTTGTACAAAATACAAAATATGAATAAGCCGAGCAATTAAAACACTTTATAATCTGCTCAATATTAAGACGACGGGCTGGAAAATAATAAACCCGTCACTGTGAAAAAATAATGTGAAACTATGTATTGTTTTTGTAACATGTGTTGGCAAAGGTATTTAAAACTTGTGTACATATTTGTCAACCATTTCCAATCCTGACACAATAGTTAAAGGGCGGCGATCGTCACGATGCGCCACGCATCGCAAGATATGAATCTCATATAAACAAAGATGGCGACTTTTGACTTTTGCGCATACAAAAAGATTTGTAGGCATTGAGTGATTCAATGGCAGTAATTAGTGCAAGTCGCACCCAGGTCAAAGATTGTACTCGCAATTTCATTAGAATAGCGCATTGGACTGTGGGGAAATGTTTATCAACACATAATTTCGTACATGCGCGGCGCGGCGACCACCACCCTTTAATACATGTATAACCAAAACTGTATTGAGTATTGTAAAAACTGTATTGAGGGCGCTGCATACTAGTACATCATGCTTCAACTTTGCCAACAAAAATAGTCTCAATATTGTTATGGCACAGTGATATTACTGTTAAATATGTCCGACCAGAACACTGAAGGTACTAGTGATATTGTTGTGTATGAAGATGATGTTTAAACGGGTCTGTAAACATGCTTGAAGGCGTGCTTTTCAAAGAGATTAATCTGAACATGGAGCTCCATGATCTGAACGAATATGAATGTGTCAAAATTGATCGATGGTGCATTTTACACCACATTTTTGAACTAATTGTACCACGACACCGTGAAGTAGCCATTCGATTGCTCACCTAGTTACCTTACTTAATTCTACGCTATTGTCGGTTTTCTTTATATTGGTCAGCAACCGAACTCTCGTAGTGAAACCAAATACCTTCTCTATAGAAGAGGGGAATGCGTACATAAAAGACATACATGCATTCGACGTTGCGTCTTAAAAAGGGATATGTTGTGTTATTCTGATTCTTTGTTGTATTATTTGTTCAGTTACAGTAGGACAACTTTCGAAGCCGCCCACCTTTATTCAAAAATGACCCCCACCCCCCACAGTATGTCAGCCTAACCCGTTTCAATGTATTATGCACTACGTAGTATGAACTAGCGATTTAAATTCCGTTGATTAAATATTATAGATAAGAATATTGTGGTTTATTAAGTACGTGCTTCATGAACACTTTATAAATGGCATTTTTTAGAGGTAAGTTTTTATTTCACCTCCAATGGTCAGTTTCGCCACACTGAGTGTCCGAGTAAGGACCGCATACTACGAACATAGTTCACCGAGGTTGGGCTTGGAAACTACGCCTACATACAGCCCCCACAGTGGTGTACATTGTACGGTTCACTGATTACAGTGAATGTCACTAACAAAGGAATGAAGCACTTATTGTACGGTCACTTCTGCACAATTCCTTGTCAAAACATAAGTACACAATTTTCACGTGCATTGCTTTGAAAGTTGTACATCGA